CTTGATTTTGCTTCAGGGCAGAAGAGCGGGCCCCGGAGGCAGAGCTCGAGGAAGAACGCCCAGAATTCCAAAACCGCCTCGTGGAGATCGGGGTTTGAGCCTGCTAGTCCTGGGCCGTTTCTGCTACCGCCCAGTGGGGGGGGGCCGACACTAGCCCCCGTGAAGGCCGACACGGCCCACCGCCTTCGGGCGGGGTAAGGTAGTGATTTCTGTTTAAGTCTGATGTTGTTATGTTTGTTTCGTTTTTCTTGTTTCAAACAAATGCAACATCGCAAGAAACTGCGACTGGAGTCCTAGACCCAATCTCTCTGCGGCATTTTCGAGCCAGACCGATCCGTCAGGGTCCCAGGGCCCGAAACAGTCGGGCGTTGAAAGAGTGCCCATCCAGACAAGTCGACTGAGGAAGCATGCACTGGTTCGCTCGCCGTTGGCATTCGAGCGTGCCAGTGCAGTCCCCAGTCGGTTGCGCTAACCGAGGTGCGCTCCGCCGGATACATCCGGTTGTTGGTGGCCGTTGATTGGCTGCCCCGCTGGGGTCCACTCGGAATGCGGTGCCGTGCGCACGTGGAGTGCCCCTGGCAGTTTTCACTAAAGAGCGTTGTGCTAAAGGATGTTCTGCCAGTCTTCACGACAGGGCGAAAGCGCCTGGTGTGCACAGCAAGGCGACGCCAGGATCTCAAGGTTCCAGGCTCTGCGGAGGTCGGCACGGCCCGCCGCCACGACCTTGCCGCTCGGGGCCTCCCGATGTCTGGGCCCCTCTGGCCCGTCGGACCTGAGGGCGTCCGCGGCGTTCTGCGCGGGGGTGCTGCTGGGCGTGGCGCTGTGCTGGGCGCGCACTTCGAGGCGACCGTCGGACAAATCCGTCCCACTCCTCCTCCTCCTCGCTCCTCCTCCTCCTCCTCCTCCTCCTCCTTCTCCATTCCTTTTCCTTCTGAATATCTCCTCGCTGTGGCACCCTGGGGCCAGTCGGAAGGGCGGCTGGTCGTTTCGCCTGAGACTTCCTTACCATTTTGAGCCGGAAGCTCAAAACCTAGCAATAGTTCCACAGATGGAGGGCGAGTCGCTTCCAAAATGTGATTATCGTTTTAGCGCAGCGCACATTCGTTTCAAACATTTGCAAGAGTTTGACTGATTGAGGGCGGGTAGTTTTCAAAATGTGGTTCGTGCCGTAGCGCCGCGCTCATTCGTTCTAAAAGCTTGCAAGAACTTCACGGATTGAAGGCGGGTGGTTTTCAACATGTGGCTCTCGTCTTAGCGCCGCGCGCATTCGTTTCCAACAGTTGCAAGAGTTTCACGGATTGAGGATGGTTCTTTTTCAAAATGTGGTTATCATTTTCGCGTTGCGCACATTCGTTTCAATCACTTGCAACAGCTTCATTCGTACTCATGGTTCACGAGCCGGAAATGGTGGTTTGGAGCGGTTCAGGGTTGTCAGGGCGCAACGGTTGATTCGTGATGTTGAAGTCCCAAGAGCTATGTTTTGGCACGATTATGTGTCGTCCTGGCGCAGCAGTCTGGTTGATTCGTGGCGTTGTAGCCCGAGAATACTGCGTGGGCACGCTTCAGGAGTTTCTAGCGGTTGTCCCCAAACGGGGCATTTCTCTCAGTTGAAATGAGCCAGTGAAGGGGCTTGTGAAGAGGGAGCTTGGAGGAAGGGTGTATTCCAAACGTTGTTGATGAGTCTTGGGCTTACACTGGTCCTCCTCCTCCCTCCTCCTCCCTCCACCGCCCTCCGTCGCCACTGCTGGCTCTCAAGCTACTGCAAGGGCGTGCGCTCACGACTTGCCCTTGCCTCTCACTTTTACTGATGGCTGATGTTGTTTGCTCTCTTCACGGGGAGGTGCTGCGGCCCTTGTGTGCAGAGCTTGGTGTCCATTGCTCGGGACTTCAGCAGGCAGCGAAACTTGCCCGTCGTGCGGGTAGGATCTCAGGGTCAGTGGTTCAGAAACTGCGCGTCCCCGAGAACGCGTTCAACGTTACGAGGTACACCACGCTTTCGATATGCCAGAGGTGTCGTTGTTTGTTGCGGCAGCTGTTGCAGTCGTATGCTAATCATGTCCCTACTGCTGACCCGCCTGTTGATGTTCTACCTGAGCGTCGTGATGTCGATCGCGGCCGTCTTGAGCCTCATTATTGCTCTGAATTTCTTGATCGGGATGACCATCCTGGCTACGCCGAGGAGCCTCCTTACTGTCGTGAGCTTACTGAAGTTGTTGTCGATAGTGATCCTCCCAGTGGACGCGCTCGGACGCTTCCTGTCGGAGGGGGTGTTGGGCTTCCCGAAGGAATTCTCCCTGTTCGTGAGCCTTCTGATGGAAGAGGGCCATGGTCTTCTCGATCGCCGAGGGCTCCCTAACGTATCTGGGCGTTCACGTCCAGATCATCGTGAGCCTCTTGATGCGGCCAATGGTGTACCCCTTGATGCTCGTGCGCTGCCCTGCGTGGAAGCTCGCAGGCTCTCCGTACGCCGTGTTTTCCTGATGGCGGGGGTCGCGCTCGGGCGCCGCCCTGCGGAGAAGGTCCTGGGCCTCCTGGGCTCCGTGATTTTTTCCCGATGTCGGTGTCCGTGGCGTATTTCCGGGGTGCGGGCCTCCTGGTTCCTTCGTTCGGCCCTCGGGTGCGGCATGGGGGGCATCACGCCAAGTCGTGGCGCAACGCTGGCTCCAGCCTGCGGTGCCACGGCCTTTCTCCGCCCCCCGCCAAACGGCTATCGTTCGCCTGTCTTCAGTTGGGTCTCGTGGCGGAGCACGGTTCCTGGTGGGGGTGGTGACGACAGGCTGCGGGGTTCCATGTTGCCGCAGCCCGTCGAGTTCGAGCTTGTCTTGACATGCCTTGACTAGGCTTTGCCCTTTTCCGTTCCCCTCCTCATGCCTCCTACTTCTCCCTTTGTTCGTTTTTTGCTATAGTTGTGCGCGGGGATGGTGCACGCTGCCCGAAAAGGAGGAGGAGGAGGAGGAGGAGGAGGAGGAGGAGGAAGAGGGGGAGGAGGAAGAGGAGGAGAGGAGGAGGAGGAGGAGTAGGAGAGAAGAGGAGGAAGGAGAGGAGGAGGAGAGAGGAGGAGGAGGAGGACTGGGTGAGCTGGACGTGGAGGATGGTGAGCTTGCTGACCTGCGCACGTAGAGCGCAGAGGTCTGCAGGTGTCTGCGAGCCTGTGTGCCGTCTGTTCCGTGCAGCCTGCCTCCGATCTTGGGTGGTGCTCGGGTGCTCCTCCTCCTCTCCTCCTCCTCCTCCTCCTCCTCCTCCTCCTCCTCCTCCTCCTCCTCCTCCTCCTCCCCCTCCTCCCCCCCTCCTCCCCCTCCTCCTCCTCCTCCCCTCCTCCCCTCCTCCTCCTCCTCCTCCTCCTCCGGTGTGGCCGAGGAGATCGTTCTGAGAAGCGGCACCAGCCTGCTTGCCTGCCGCTTTGCTCGCGCGTCTTCGCGCTGTCCCTCGTTGGTTGCGGGCCCTGCTTCCGTCGGCCGTGGAAGCCACAGCGTCCCTGCGCACGGGGTCCTCCTCCTCCTCCTCCTCCTCCTCCTCCTCCTCCTCCTCCTCCGTCTCCTCCCCCTCCTCTTTCTCCTCCGTCGGTCCCTCCGCGCGCCGTTCCTCGGCCTCCCTCGTGTGGCCCTCGCGGTCGTCTGTCAGGCCCCCTGCCGCCCCCCCCCCCCCCCCCCCCCCAAACGTTGCCATCCGCGTGCGTTCCGGGAGCCAGCGCTCGACTCAGGCCCGCGTCCAACCAAGAATCCTCGCCCTCGTCCTCCTCCTCCTCCTTCTCCAGAAATCTTCGTCCTAGCCCGCGTCGAGAACAAAGATCCCTCCACCGCCCGCTCCATGTCCCGAGCCTGTGGCATTGTCATCAGCTCGTCGTTGTCGTCGTCGTCGTCGTGGGCGTCGTTGTGGTCATCGTCGTCGTCCTTCTGGGTCGGCGGCACCGACCGTAGAGTCTTCACAGTACAAGGGGCGACTGGCGGAGGGAGAGGGGTCGATACTCCTCTGTTCCTCAGTGTGCTTGGATTGGGACGCCAGCGTCGCTCGCGACAGGCACGCCCGACCCCGTCGGATGTGAAGGCGTCCTTCAAAATTCACCCCTTTCGGGACCTGAGTAGAGACAACTTTGGCCACGCTCGCATGACATCCCAAATGCTATTTTCTCGGCAACGCGGCCGGACGTACCTCGCTGTTGGCCAGCTAGCCCAATGATATCAATATATCCCCCACGCACTGAGACCCACAATAACCACTTGATGACCCAAGAATTGGCTTCCGCCATACTCGCGACTTCAAAAAAGAGATCTCCAAGAGTCCTCACAACAGATCTGTCCAACAAGGGCAAGCTGCTTCGGGCAGTGGTTCGCGGTAAACTGCAGCCACCCTAGCCAGGAATTCTGGTTTCCTCTCGTCCGTAGAGCTGGGTCCAGGTACCATGATGGCTGGTGGCGTCCGTGGCAGGCCTCCTCCTCCCCATGTTCCTCCTCCTCGTCCTGTTCCTTTTCCTCCTCCCTCCTCCTCCTCCTCCTCCTCCTCCTCCTCCTCCTCCTCCTCGCCTCCTCGCCTCACTCCTCCTCCTCCTCATCATCATCATCACAGCATCATCATCATCATAATCATCAGCATCATCATCATAATCATCATCATCAACATCATCATCTCAGCAGCATCATAATCCATCATCATCATCATCATCATCATCATCATCATCATCATCATCATCATCATCATCATCATCATCATCATCATCATCATCATCATCATCATTATCAGCATCATCATCATCATCATCATCATCATCATCATCGCCTCCACCGCCGCCTCTCCCTCCTCCCTCCTACCCTTCCTCCCTCCTTCCTCCTCTCCCTCCTCCTCCTCCTCCTCCTCCCCTCCTCCTCCTCCTCCTTCTCTTCCTCCTCCCCTCCTCCTCCTCCTCCTCCCTCCCTCCCCCTCCCTCCTCTCTCCTCCGCTCTCCTCCCTCCTCCCTCGTCCCTTTCCCCATCCCTCCTCCCTCCCTCCTCCCTCCCCGGGCCCAGGTCTGCGGCTCGACGCCGCAGCGCGACCTCGGCCCGCGGGCCCGCCGCCCCCGGCGAGGCGGCCGCCAGCGCCGGCCAGCGGGTGACGCCCCAGCGCCCGAGCGCGCCGGCCGCGGCGCCGAGCCATCGGGGGCTGCCGCGCGGGGGCGCTCTGGCGCACGAGCGCGATCAGCACGCTCCAGAGGAGGAAGAGGTGCCCATGCCTCTATCCTTCCTCCTCCTCCTCCTCCTCCTCCCTCCATCCCTCCCTCCCTCCCTCCCTCCCCTCCCTCCCCCCTCCCTCCCTCCCTCCCTCCCCTCCACCACTCCTCCTCCTCCTCCTCCTCCTCCCTCCTCCTCCTCCTCCTCCTCCTCCTCCTCCTCCTCCTCCTCCCTCCTCCTCCTCCTCCTCCTCCTCCAGCCCCTGGGTTCGAGGGTTCCAGGACTTCGGGCCAGAGGCACGCGAATTCAATGCCTCCAGGCACCCACGGCCGCGCGGCCGTTGCGAGATGATGGGGCGCCGCCGACCATGTCAAGGTTACGGGTGCTCGGATGGAACCCCATGTGGGGCACTGGCTGCCGACTCCAGGAGATCGCCGCTTGCACGAAGAACATGGACTTCACTTTGCTGGCGGGTACCCAGAACGTGCGCAGGGAGTCGGAACAGGTGCTTCAACGTAAGGTGGAGGGAAGAGTGGTTCTTGAGGCAGCAGTATCATCAGGTTTGTACACTAATCGTAGCGCAGGTGTGTCCATTTTACTAGGCCGAGAGTTTCGAAGCCATCATGTACGTCGGGTGTTCTCCAGCCCGCCTCAGCTCTGGGGTCGTTGTCTCGCCGCTCGCATTCGACACAACATTGTGGACGTATGTGTTGGGGTCCTCTACTTTCCTCCTCAACCTCGAGGGAAAGGGGCGGGGCCGAAGTACACGCAGACGGTTGCCAGATGACCCAGTGGTGGCGAGAGTGTCTCGACCAACTTCCAGCACGTTGCTTGCCCATTTTCTTTGCTGATTTGAACGATGGGCTCGGCTGTCGTCGCATCGAGGGGAAGTGGGAGGAGTATGACAGCAGCGCGGTGGGTCAGACACGCACGAGGGAGAGGCGGAGGCAGGGAGCAGGAGAGTCAGTGGCACATCTGCTGGAGCAGCACCATATGCTTGCGGCGAATACCCTGGGCCCTCTTGATCAAACTTTTTACGGTGACGGACCCGAAGGGCCCTCGAGCTTGATGCCATACTTTACGAAGGATTGGCGCGCAACTACAAGCCAAGAGTGGGCGCCCCCCCCCCCCCCCCGCCCCCCCCCCCCCCCCCCCCCCCCCCCCCACCCCGAAATCATGCCCCCCTATACCTGGGGCTACATCATCCAAAAGGACCCCAGGAATGTGCCCCTGTCCAGCGGGTTCGCTGGAATACTTCTTCTCTTATGCTCGCCGCCCGCTCTGGATCTCAGCGCGTCGCCTTTGTGGAGGGAATGGAGCAGTGGATGCGGGAACGGGAGGAGGATAGGATACGGGTTCATGATCAGGACGCTCCAGACCACTGTTTCGAATTTCTAGAACAGGGATTGGTGGAGGTGGGGTCGGAACTATTTTGCGAAGATACGGACATGCCGCACGATTACTCTCATTGGGCCGCATTGCGCCGTGAGCTTTTGAAGAAGCGCATTGAGTTGCGCGCTTCTCGTATGCAAGCCACGGATCTGCCAGCTGTTGAAGGGGAGCTCCGCGATGTATCGCAGAGGATGTGTCTACTTAGACAGCGTCACATGAGGGCGGAGAGGGCTTCCTTTGTTCAGGCTTCCAGTGAGGCATGGGCCAGAATAAATATATCGGGGGCGATGGGGTGGGCGAGGCGGGCGGCTCGCTGTAGGTGTTCTTTCAAAAAACGTGATGGGCGACGCTTTGGAGCTACCCCGATCTCTCGTCAGGAGTGGTTGGATGTGTGGCAGTTACTTGGAGGGGAGGGGGGCATGACAGTTATCCCCATCGATTTGGAGCAGTGGCGAAACCAGAGGGACGACCTTGATCTTGCCCAGATCTACGATATGGCCCGTTACGACTCTCGTTTCCAGGAACTGGCTTTGGAGGACATCAAGCGCCTCCGAAAGTATGTGCGCAAAGCTTCCAAGAGACGGGTCGTCCCAGATGGCACTGCCCCGCTGGAGCTCTGGTGGCAGATGTTGCACCCCGATGTGGGCCTGGAGGGTCTACGCGCTGGCCTCGGCGCTCAGCGTGCACCGGTGGAGCCGACTCTTTTTCGGGGTGCTACTCGACGCCTTCATGAAAGTGCGAATCACAGACATGGCCCCTCTTTACTGGAGTATTAGTCGGGGATGCGCCCTGCGCAAGTCGGCCCAACCTGGGCCTCATGGGAAACGCGTGGTCCACGTCCTCCCCGTCGTGGGCAAAGCCTTCTTCGCCGATCTCCTCCCCAACGAGCTCCCCCTCGAGGACTATGGGTTCCAGAGGCACCGTCGTAGGGAAGGGGCTGTCTTGGCATCTCAGGTGGTTGGGTGGAGATTACGACAGGCGGGATGGAGCTTTGGGGCTAGCCTCAAGGATATGAGTAACGCGTTTGGTAGCACCTCCTAGACGGCCATGGAAACGAGCATGGCCTTACATGTTTCTGATGAGAATTTACTGCTGTGTAAGAAACGCTACCGTGACGCTGTGGTTTTACTACCTAGTGATGAGGGGATGTGGCGGTCAAGACCAGGGTGGGAGGAGTGATGGGTGATCCGTTCATGGTGGCAGCGTTCTCTACTACGTTCCAGCGTCCAGTGCAGCAATGGGCGGAATCGCTCTGTGCCGCTGACCCGTCCTTGCACCTTTTACGCGCTGAGTGGCAAGGTCAGGAAGTTGATATTCGCCTTTTTAAGTATGCGGACGACCTGCATCGCTACACCCTGATCGCTCAGGGCGACCTCATGGGCTCCTTCCTCGCCAAGTTGCGCGAGGCAGACGATTTGCTAGACTCTCACCTCCAGGAATGTGGGTACCAACAGAATCGGGGGAAACAAGAGCTGGTGGTCTGGCTTGAAGGGGAGGGGGCCATGGCTTGTCGTCGCTGGCCTCGTGGGCCTGGACGGGCTCTCATCTCTGGGGTTCTGAAGGAGGAGGTGCGGCACCTGGGGCCCCGCGTCTCTATGCCCCAGGCTTCGAGCCAGGAGGTGATCAGACGACATCAGGCTGCGCGCTCGGCCTTCTACTCCCTGGGCGGCTTCTGGACGTTATCCCCCCCTTGGAAATTTACTCGGGCGATCTTCTTATCCCTTGTGCAGAATTCGGCTCCATGTGGAATGGAGGCGTTCTTGCTCGCGAAGCAGCAGTGCGCCCGCCTGGACGCCACTATCGCTCATTTTGCCCGTGTTTGCGTGCGAGGGCGTGCAAGATGGACTACTTCAACTGGCGCAGTCAGGACAATGTCCAATCAGGCCGTGCTAAAACACTGGCGTATTTGTGAGACCTCGGTGGAGCTGGGCACTCGTCGACTTAACTGGCATAAGTCTTGGGCTGCCCACCCCACCAGGCACGCCCAGCTGTTCGCGGCCCTCTTCGGGGAAGTGCGTTTCGAGTTGGGGGAGGCGCCTCTCGTCGACGGATACCTGACCCCCAAGGCTCCCCCCTGGGCTCGCAGGGTCTCTGAGGACTTCTACTGGGCACAGGGGCTCATGCGTGATTCTGAGGATGTACTGGGAGCTCTTGCAGATCGTCCTGGCCTCATGCGGGGCCCCGAAGTGCGCCGCGAACTTCTGAACATCGACTTCGCTATGATACGGAGTTGTTTCTTTGGAGTGACTATCCCCCTGGTCTGAAGGTGGAGGTGGAAGGTGGGGGAGGTCGTGATCATGAGACACAAGAATTTCCCGAACTCGAAACACGTTATCGCTGCCAGTTCGAGGGGGGTGAAGAGGGGTTCACCACGCGTAAGGGCCTGATGGCGCACATGAGGTCCCGCCACTCGCTGCGCCCCCTGTGCCGCGTGCTCACCCCTAGTAGCACATGTATATGATGCAGGGGGATTTTCTGGGACAGGGCATGTGCTGCTCGGCATCTTGTGCTTGCTGTGCGACGGGGACACTGTCGATTCGGTGGGGGTAGAACGTTTCGCCCTCTTGAGCCTCCATCGTCATTGTCGTGTCCTCAGTGTGATGTAGAAGCTTCAGACTTAGACGCACTATGCCAACATCTACGCAGCCACTTGCCTGGCCCCGTTCTCCCGCGGACCCGCCTTATTCGGGGGCGCTCTGGGGCCCATGGCGGAGCTCACGCCGCCCGAGTGGACGCAGGCCCTGTCGGAGACGAAGCGGGGAGCGGAAGAGGGCCCAGGCTCGGAGGAAAAGCCGCCGAAGCACGCCAAGGGCGGGGCCAAGGGCGACAAGCACGAGAAGGACCTCACCAAGGCCCTGGCGCTCCCCCCCACCAAGCTGCGCCTCACCTCGGCGCGGGAGCTCGCCAACTTGGCGGGCGCAGTCTACCAGGCGTGGGAGCTCCTCGAGTCAGGCGACGGGGTCACTCAGATCATGATCGACTCGGGGGTCAAGTACGACGAGATGTCCAGGCAGATAACAGAACGTCAACGGGCAGGCGAAAAGGTAGACTTTCGCGCTCGTGGGCCCCCGCACGTGCAGCTGCGGGCCGCGGTCTGCCTCAACCTCGCCACCGACGTGAGGAAGTTCATCCAGGGGGGCAAAGAGGAGTACGTCGAGGCGGAGACCAAGAAGTTCCACGGGTACTTCGCGAAGTACATCCAGGGCGCCGCCCCACACACCGTGGGCAATCACGTGCTGCACTTTCGGCACAGGAAGCACAGGGGGAGGGGGGCCGAGACGAGTGGCTCATCGAGCCAGCAGCAGCAGACGAAGAAAGGACGCGTGACCTTCGCCTTCAGCTACAACGAGCAAGGCATGAGGGCGAGGGAGCTGGTCCTCTGGTGGCTCAACTACGAGGAGGACCAGAAGAGGGCGAAGCAGCTGATCGGCCCAGCCCCGAAAGGACCTCTCGAGCGAGAAGCTGCGAGGATCCTGAATCTTATCGAGCAGAAATGAATGAGGTTTCGGGTCCGAGTGGACCAGTGAGGCCCGTGAGGCCTGTGAGGGAGGAGGATAGGGGTAGGAGTAGGAGCCGCGGAAGGAGGGATGGGGGATGCG